CCCCACCTGCTCTCACAGCTAATTTTCATTGTTAAGCTTTTGAGGGAATTAGAGGATTTTACTTGTACAAAAAAATATTTTATCTTATCGCCCCCCCACCCCAATCAGGCCATGTAATGCACCCCTTACCCCCGCAGTTGATCGGCGGTCAGGTTTCTATAGTCCTCCCTTGATACTCCCTTGGCGACGACTGACCCCCCTTCCCTCCGTTCCTTTGAATTCGACTTAAATCCTTCGACACATTCCCCTCCAACCCCCCCCAGGGCGACAAATACTGACTGATTACATTAGGTGAAAAATATTAGCTATTTGCATTTATCCTTTAGCATGAATGAGGCTTCAGTAGTTAGATTATCGTATTTTTCTTCATTAAAAAAGAGGGAAAGGTTCAAAATTGCGAATGGACTTGCTGGTCTTTTACCCCACCTCGAGGCTAATTTTCATTCTTAACCTTTTTTGATGTCAAAGTTGTCTGAATTTCAGATGTGTAAAACTTAGCGACAGCTTACTCTGAGATGGGTAGGCTAAAAATTGCTCTTTTACTTGACTAAATACAAAACAACTCTGAGACCGAAACTGCGAAATGCACCAAACTCGCGCATACAAAACTTGCCTTAAGGCCGATTTTCGGATCAAGAATCCACAACCTGCACAACTATTTTCACTACGCATAACCTAATTTTCAAGATTGCAATAAAGCGCGCCTTTTATGCCTATTAACTGTTCTGTTCAGCCAACATGTTTCCGTCTGCACGCTTGTAACTCCAGCCACAAAGTAAACAGAAAGGGCTGATTATTTTCCAGTATCGGCGTTCAAAATATTTTTTCTAGAAAAGGCTGATAGTTTCCCGCATTTAGCATGAATGAAAAGTGTTCGTTGTCTTATACCAGTACCTTACATTTCTAAGCAAAGTAAGTGACGCACACTAGTTTCAGACTCACGTTCCATTTCTTCCTGCTCCCCAGAACCAGAAGCGTCATATTCGAGTTCATTATAAGCCCAGTCGGTGCTAGACTCTGAATCCGCGTCTTGATTCGCACCAGATTCCCCCCTGATGAGGGATTCAGGTTCAAAGTGCTGAGTTTCACCAGAAGTCATTTCGGTCTGAGCCCAATTGTTATCAGGTTCAGACTCACGTTCCATTTCTTCCTGCTCCCCAGAACCAGAAGCGTCATATTCGAGTTCATTATAAGCCCAGTCGGTGCTAGACTCTGAATCCGTATCTTGATTCGCACCAGATTCCCCCCTGATGAGGGATTCAGGTTCAAAGTGCTGAGTTTCACCAGAAGTCATTTCGGTCTGAGCCCAATTGTTATCAGGAGGAGTAATCTGAAAGTTGACGTCAAGCAAAGATATTAGATCTTGCCTACCGAGCCCCAGTTGGTATCAGATTCAGGGTTCAAGATTGCTTCCATGTTTTGATTTTGAGCAGAGTCAAGTGCGACGTTAATGACGCATCTTTTTTAATTATATATTCCGAATAATTATATCCTATCCACTGATTAACCTTAAAGAACATCAGTACTGACTACTGGAACGAAAGGCCAAACTCCTGCAAGATCCTGATGTAAGATTAGGAGCGAGTACTATGTCCAGAGATCGAATGTGTTCGGCTTAAACCATAGCAGTCATCGAGTTGTACCCAGGCCGGGGGGAGCATTACTCGGAGTGGCAATACTCCGAGTAGATTCATGCTACAGAAGCTGGGATAAGCTGTGGGAGGATGAGCTTCTAAGCTCGTAATCTGACCTTACCTTTTTAATTTTTTTAAATGATTTTAGTAGGTTATCTCCTCTCTCCACAATGTTCTTTCCAATGTTCAAGGGTTTCTTCAATTTAGCTTGAAGGGATGGCCCTCTGCTGTCGGTAATCCCATCACGGGTGAATGTTGTTCCACTGGTATATTGGCCAGTTCCAGAATAATCATCTGTGCTGTCCTGGAGCCTGTTTTGAACACGCTTTAAAGAAGACACAGGGATACTGCTTGTCTCTTTGAGACTTCTTGATGGAGGAGAGTTTCCTGCAGATAAAACAAGCGTATGCAAGGATTATCTTTTAGTTCTTTATGATGTAATTCTTTATGATGTACAATTCTAAGCAAAGTAAGTGACGGACACTAGTTTCAGACTCACGTTCCAATTCTTCCTGCTCCCCAGAACCAGAAGCGTCATATTCGCGTTCATCAAAAGCCCAGTCGCTGCTAGACTCTAAATCCGCATCTTGACTCGCACCAGATCCCCTCTGGGTGAAAGATTCAGGCTCAAAGTGCTGAGTTTCATCAGAAGTCATTTCGGTCTGAACCCAGTTGTCATCGGAAGGAGTAATCTGAAAGTTGACGTCAAGTAAAGATGTCAGATCTTGCCTAACGAGCCCCATTTGGTATCAGATTCAGGGTTCAAGATTGCTTCTGTGTTTTGAGTTGGAGTAGAGTCAAGTGCGACATTGATGACTTATCTTTTTCTTAATTATATATATATATATATATATTTCGAATAATTATATCCCATCCACTGATCAGCCTTAAAGAAGATCAGTACGCCTACAGGAATGAAAGGCTAAACTCCTGCAAATTTCTGATAATCTAACTTACCTTTTTTGTACTTTTTAATTTTTTTGGTAGGTTATCTCCTCCCCTCATAAGGTTCTTTCCGATATTAAACGATTTCTTCAATTTAGCTTGAAGGGATGGCTCTTCGCTGTCGGTAATCTCATTACGGGTAGATGTTGTTCCACCGGTATATTGGCCAGTTCCAGAATAATCATCTGTGCTGTCATAGAGCCTGTTCTGAACACGCTTCAATGAAGACACAGGGATACTGCTTGTCTCTTTGAGAGTTCTTGATGGTAGAGAATTTCCTACAGGTAAAACAAACGCATGCAAAGATTGTCGGTGAGTTCTTTATGATGAAATGACACTGCTAATATATATTACGGTCATAGAAATTTAAGTAAAGTTAACGACACGCTACAGAAAACCATGATTGTGCCTGTTAAGAAGAAAAATACCGGACTGGCGTGTCGTGCGAATAGCGCGCGCGCTGAGACATTTAAATTCGACCAGTTCGTAGGCAAGTTGCGCGTTACTTTTTTTCAGTTTCAGTCGCATTTTGGAGGCTTTTGTTTTTGAGTTTGTATTTTAAGCCGTTACCATTTTACCGTCTTGTTACCGATTAAACGTACCTGCTTTTAAAGGAGATTTTCGTTTTCGCCTCCAAACATTTCTAGCGACCACGATGGGAGAAAGGTATGAACTGGTGTTTGTTTGAGGTTTCGTTTGCGATTTGAGTTTCTGAGTTTTGAGTTGTGCATTATGGCTGCCGAATCCGAGGACAGCGATGTTACCGAATTTACCGAGAAAAATGACAAAATTGCGAATGGAGTCGACAAACAGAAGGAAAACGACGTTCTGTTAATTCAGACTAGAGGAAGAAACGCTCCGCAAAGACAAAAGAAGCAAAACTCAGACATAAGTTAGAAGGACTATGCGTGAAGGATTCCGAAGTAACGGACGTAGAAAGTATGATTGAGCAGTTGAGGGCAGCCCTTGAAGACGCACAAGAAATTTTAGAGGAACTGTCTGCTTTCTTTCTATGTCGAAGTCGGAGAAGACACTGGGAAAAACGAAGCTTTTAAAGAGCAGAAAACATCGAAAAAGACGTATAAAGAGCGATCTAAGTGGGACAAAGTGCGATAAAAGCCCGCTCGTGCAAAGTCATGAATATTAACACTCCATTAAGCGATAACACGACCGAGAAGATCAACTAAATGAGAGTCACCACAGCCACAACGACCGAAACCGATATTTGAAGCCATTAAAAGTTCCGACATTCAATGGTGACAAAAGAAAGTTTGAAGATTTTTGGACCCTCTTTACAAGTCTAGTAGACGAGTCAACGAAGCCAGTAAATTTGAAGATGGCAAGGCTGCGGCAATGCCTCACAGGGAGCACCTTGGAAGTCATCCGTGGTCTCGGAGTCACCGTCCACGAATACGAGGAGGCCAAAGAGATATTTAAAACGAAGTATGGAGGTACGTGTCGGCTTTTGCGAGCCTACTTGGATCAACTAGAACAGGCGCCGATAAGAAGTAACTACATTCACGCATTGGAGAAGTTTGTTGACCTTATTAGAATTACAATGGTAAAGTTACAGGCCGAAAGAAGAGACGGAGAGTTAGAAGATAGAACTCTTCACAGCTTGCTGGTGAAAAAGTTGACTAATCACCAGCTGGAAAACTACAGTCGCTGGTTGAACGAACGCGCCAGAAAAAAATCAGTCATAGCTTTCAGAGATTGGTTGAAAGACGAAGTCATATTCCGAATAGAAGCAGCGGAAATGGCGAACGGAATTGAGCCGAAACCTGTCGACCAAGTTAGACCACCGAGAGTACCGAGTTACCAGGAACAGAGCAGGAGGCGAAATTTTCATACCGCTGCAATAGGTAAGAGCCAAAAAGTATGAAGCCTTCATGTTCTCTCTGCCAGAGTTTCGATCACGGGGTGTGGTTTTGCAAGGAGTTTTATGACAGAGGAGTGGATGAGTTCTGGAAGATCGCTAAAGAAAGAAAGTTGTGTTCTCGTTGCCTAGCCTCTGATCATAAGAGGAAAGATTGCCCAAAGGCCCGCACGTGTGGAATAGATGGTTGTTCTCGAAATCGCCACTGCCTTCTTCATGGAAGTGAAGTTTTGTCAGAAACCGCACCGATGGCAATGTTGCCTCATGCTGACGATGGGAGACGCCCAGATGCTCCACGGGAGGGGGCGCCCATCGTGACCCTGACCAGCCGTAATGCAAAACCGTCGACTGAGTCTTATTCGTTACGAACTGTCCCTGTGTGGATGAAGGCTAATGGAAGAAAAGTAAAAATAAACGCCATCCTAGACGATGCATCGAACGAAACTTTCCTAAACGAAGCGGTTGCTGGGATACTGGGACTGTAAGAGCCATTCGAAAAGGTTCAAGTTTATGTGCTCAATGACACCGTCGGAACAATTCAGTTCATGCCAATAAAAATTGAAACGAAACTGTAGATGGCAATTTTTCAAAGGAAATAAGCGCAAAAACTTGTCCGCAGAAAGTCACTGACTATTATAGAGTTGTGAACTGGAACAACCGTCAGAATAAATGGCTGCATCTGACTCAGTGCAATTTTCCCAAGCCGGCAAATGATGGACTTGTCGATCTTTTGATTGGCATTGATAACACTGAACTCCATTATTCGCACGTTGATCTCCGTGGAGCTGTATTGGTGCGCCTGACGAAAACGAGACCGCGAGAACACGATCTCACGTTATCCGTTCCTTGTCCACTAGAGAACTTATTTGGAGCGAGGGAAAAGAATCCTGTTGTGACGTTGACAACAGCTTGAAGAGATTCTGGGAAATCGAGAAGTCTGGCACAGACCACGATGGCCGACTCGTATTCACCGAAGAAGAAAGACTAGCCTTAGGCAAAGTGAAAGCTTTCCTCAATTACGAAAATGGAAGATATCATGTAGCCGTCCCTTGGAAAGAAAACAAACCCGATCTCCCTGACACTAAACATGGCACTCTCTCGCCTCCGAAGCACCGAAAGAAATCTGAAGAAAAACGGCCGCAAGAATATCAAGCAGCTATTCAGGCCTATGTTGAAAAGGGATATTTACGAAAGGTACCCTCAGAAGAACAGCCGCCAGCTAACGTATGGTTTTTGCCCCATTTTCCGAACGTGAGAATGGATAAATCGACAACGAAAGTTCGAATCGTATTTGACTGTGCCGCTAAATGTGATGATATTTCCTTCAAATGACATGATCCATGTTGGGCCGAAATTACAGCAAGATCTTTTCAACGTCCTTGTCCGTTTCCGTCTAAATCCTGTCGGTGTCGCTTGCGACATAAAAGAAATGTATCTCCAGATAGAGATTAAGGAGCAGAACCGATGCCACTTCCGACTGTTTTGGAGAGACCTTGACCCTAACCGAGAGCCAGACGTATTCGAGTTTAGCCGTGTAATTTTTGGAAAGAATTCCGCCCCTGTGGAGTCGCAGTTTGTTGCGCAAGAGAACGCTAGAAGAAACCAAGACCGCTATCCCCTTGCCACTGAGACCGTCCTTAAGTCAACCTATATGGACGATTCTATTGACAGTGTTGAAAACGATAATAAAGGAATGGAAATGTACCGTCAGTTGAAAGCAAAAGGGGGAGTTGCCGGCATGTAAGCCAGGAAGTGGATCTCTGATTCACCGAAAGTTATTGAAACGATTCCGACAGAAGAGCGCGCCACAGAGATTGTTATTAACAGCGGTCAAGCTCCGATAACGAAGAGACTTGTAATTTCGTGGAACAGTACTGAAGATGTGTTTACCGTCACCGCTTCTGCAGTGTCCCCGAAATTTCAGATAACGAAGCAAAACGTCCCGCGTAAAGTAGCAACGATTTTTGACCCGCTGGGATTTGTATGCCCATACGTTATTATGGCCAAGATCCTACTCCAGGAGCTGAGGATGCGAGGCTAGGACTGGGAAGACGAAGTTCAAGATGAAATAGCCGACAAAATCAGGGATTGGTTGGAGCAATTGAAAAGTCTGCAAGAGGTGAAGATTCCCCAGTGTCTACGACGTCCAGAGCCTGTCAAGTCGGAGCACATTGTGACATTTGTTGATGCCTCTCAACAAGCAATGTTGCAGCTGTCTATATGCGCTGCGAATACGATAATGATACCGTAATCAGTCGCCTGATTGCAGCTTAGAGTGAATTGGCGTCGTTCAACCCGATGGCAGCACCCAGACTGGAACTCATGGGTACAATTGTAGGCCTGCGTTACAAACAGTCCTTGCTGACAGTCTTATACCCCGTTCACACCAAAGCTTAAACATGGTTAAAATTTGTTTTGATAAACGGATTTAATAAGACTGGCCGTTCACACTGCGGGCGTGTTTAAGAAAACACCTCTAAAACCGTGTTTAACAAAGTTTGGGAGCACTAAGAAACCTTCCTGTTACTTGAAAAGTGGGGAGACGAGAAGATCCAGCTCCAGTTAAAATCATGCACAAGAAAAAAGCCTATATGGCTAGAAATTGCGGCATATCTTCGAGCTGCAGACTATGAAGACAGAGACTACGGCAGCTGCAAGACACGAATTCACACTCTGATAAGCGTCTATTCCTAAGTTCTCTACCCAATCATTATCACTCCAGCCTTAGCAGATCTCCTCCCAAAAAGATTGAAACCTGCTTTTACTCCAAACTCGAGGTAAACTTGGGGTGCATCGAAATAGTTGCCGCGTCAACAACAATAAAACTACAGATGACACAAGACATCTGCGGCGGAGGTATCGGTAGAGTCGTCTCCTGGCAAGCTTTGCGCGATTTTATTCGATTCTTCGGCTTTCTTCTCTCCGTGTTTTCCAAAACAGAAGCACACTATTTCGCCCATCCGCCATTTTGTTTACATTTTACATGTTGTGGCTGTATGATGTTGTAACATTTTACGTCAAAAAACACGGAGAGAAGAAAGCCGAAAAATCGCGGAAAATCGCGCAAAGCTTTCCAGGCGGACGACTCTATCGATACCTCCGCCGCACATGTCTTTTTATTGTTGTTGACGCGGCAACTATTTGAAGATATGCCGCAATTTCTAGCCACATAGGCTTTTTTCTTGTGCATGATTTTAGCTGGAGCTGGATCTTCTCGTCTCCCCACTTTTCAAGTTACAGGAGGGTTTCTTAGTGCTCCCCAACTCTTCCGCGCGTTTTGGTTTCTGCCACCATTTTGAATGTTTTATTAAACACGATTGTTAAACTACCTCGCGAGATAGTTTTGTTAAACACGGTTTTAGACGTGTTTTATTAAACGCGCCCGCAGTGTGAACGGCCGGTCTTATTAAATCTGTTTATCAAAACAAATTTTAAACATGTTTAAGCTTTGGGGTGAACGGGGTATTAGTTTAATTAGACATGTTTTGATGGTGTGAACGGGGTATAAGAAGGACCAATGCAGAGCGTGACGTTCTACTCTGACAGTACAGATGTCCCATGGTGGATTCGAGGGCGCGGAAAAGATTTCCGACCGTTCGTGGCCAACCCAATTGGTGAAACAGATGTTCACTGAACCGTCACAGTGGTAGCATGTCTCTACCGTAGAGAATCCAGCCTATTTATGCACAACAGGGGCCTCGCCTTCAGAGTAAGTCTAATGTTCCTTGTGGTGGAATGGCCTTGATTGACTTACAAATGATTTCAGTGAGTGGTCAAAGATGAAAGTCCCGGATAGACCTTTTAAAATGCCAGAGATAAGAAAGAGGGCACGAATGCCTGTGCAACCCTTATGACGTGTAACCTTCAGAAAGAAACTGCACCGAAAGAGAAAAACACACACAGGAGCGTGGAGACTTGATCCGAAACGGTATTCCAGTTGGATGGGTTTGGTTCGAGTACACGCTAGAGTGAGAAGAGTACTACACAACATGCGCAACAGAGACAACAGGAGTACAAGTATGGAACTGTTACCCGAAGAAATAAAGGATGCTGAAGAGGAAATAGTGCGCTTTGCACAGCGCGAAGCCTTCCGTGATGAGTACGCCGCTTTGAGCTCAAGGAAACCGATACCAAAGAAAAGCCACTGAGTTGATAACGCTTAACCCCTGCATCGACGATGATGGAGTTATCCGGAGTGATGGTCGATTAAAGTTTGCAGATTTTCTCCCATATGATATTAAATTTCCAATCATTCTGCCTCGTGGACACTGGGTGACGAAACTTATCGTGAAGAACTATCACAAGAGAGGAAACCATGCTGTTGGAGTAAACTTCATTCTTTGCCAGTTGAGTGAGAGATTTTGGATCATCGCCGCACGAGAGGAGATTCGCGAGTGGGATCACGAATGTAATGAATGTAAGAGAAGACGAAGCAAGCCAGCTTGTCAGATTATGGCGCCACTCCCGAAAACGAGGCCCCGTTTCAGCTTCAGGCCCTTCGCCCAAACAGCCGTAGATTTTGCTGGTCCTTAGTATACTCTTCAAGGACGCGGAAAACACGACAGAAGAGGTGGCTGTGCCTTTTTACTTGCCTGGAAACTCTAGCAGCGCATTTAGAGATGGCCTGGGGACTTGATACCGACACGTTCTTAAACGCCTTCGCCCGTTTCACCAGTCGCCATGGAGTTCCTGAGGAAGTGATAAGCGACAGAGGCACAAATTTCGTGGGTGCAGTGGGAGAGATAACGAAACTAACCAGCCAGTTAGACCGACGACACCTTCAGTGCAAGACAGTGGAACTTGGACTGACATGGAGATTCAATCCACCAGGTGATTCAGCCCGATACTCCAAGAGGACGTTGGCCGTTAGGACGAATTGCTGAAGTGTATCACACACGTCACATACACTTTCACACTTTTATTTTTCATTTTCTTACATATTTACGAGATATTCCTTTGACCCGCAGATAGCAAATGCTAATCGAGGCGGGTCAAATTTGTTTCTTTATTTATTTATTTATTTATTTATTTTTTCTTTATTGACTAAATTTAATTAGACTGGACGTGATGGCCACACCCGTGTAACTAAAGTTGCGTGTGGCGTCAAAACTGTCGTGAGACCAATTAATAAACTAATTCCGCTTGGAATTAATTGTTAATAACTTATTTAGAAACACACTAGGACTAACTCCCAGTGTGGGGAGGGGGAAAATGTTAAGAAGAAAGTACCGGACTGGCGTGTCGTGCGATTAGCGCAGGCGCTTTGAGACATTTAAATTTGACCAGTTCGTAAGCAAGTTACACGTACGATTTCTCGCGTGGCTTTTTTTTAGTTTTAGTCGCATTGTGGAGGTTTTTGTTTTTGAACTTGTATTTTAAGTCGTTACCGTTTTATCGTATTTTTATTCATATATATTTATATCTCTCGGATCTAAAGGCGATTTCGAAAAATCTTGTTCTGTTTCTTATATTTCTCAGCGTGTGCAGTTGAAGCAAGTGAAAAACACTATGGGGGGGGGTAGAGGATTTCAATAGTAAACATTTTTACCTAATCCCCTTCCCCCTACTTAGGCCTTGTTATATTCTTAGCACCCCCCGCAGTTAATTGGCGGTCAGATTTTTATAGTTAACAAATAGATTCCAAGTTGCCGTGCGTCTGTTCAGTAATAGATGACAGATGACGTCAAAATGTGGCAAGAACAAAAAAGTGGCACACGAGGTGCAGCCGAGTGTGTAACTAATGTTCTCACCACATTTTGACGTCCTCTGTGATCTATTACTGAACAGACGCACGGCAACTTGGAATCTATTTGTTTTATATAATAGAGAATTTAAAAAAGTTTTAATGATGACGTCATCTATACGTCTGTCCTCCAATAGATCATAAGTGAGAACCAATCAGAATGCGTGCATAACTAAGCTTATTATATAATACTCCCTTGATACTCTGTTGGCGACAACTAACCCCCCCCCCCCTTCCCTCCGTTCCGTTGAATTCCACTCAAATCTTTCGACACCCCCGTCCCAGTCCCTCGGGGGCGATCGATACTGACTGATTCCATTAGGAGAAAAATATTACCTATTTGCATTTATCTTTTAGCGTGAATAGGGCTTCAGTAGTTAGATTATCG